ACAACTGGGCAAACGAGGGCGCCGTATCAGCGCCGGCCAACTATGCGCTTGCCATTTGCCTAAGGGGGCCATGAAGGGGAGCCGTATCGGCACCAGCCGACCATGCGCCACCCATAAACCGAAGGGTAGCCATATTACCACCAGCCGACCATGCGCCACCCATAAACCGAAGGATAGCCGTATCGGCACCAACCGACCATGCGCCACCCATAAACCGAAGGGTAGCCATATAACCACCAGCCGACCATGCGCCACCCATAAACCGTAGGGTAGCCGTATCACCACCAACCGACCATGCGGCACCCATAAACCGTAGGGTAGCCGTATCACCACCAACCGACCATGCGCCACCCATAAACCGTAGGGTAGCCGTATCACCACCAACCGACCATGCGCCACCCATAAACCGTAGGGGGGACTGTAGAAGGGAGCAGCACAGCTGTGCTCACCGGAAGCTCTAGTGTGTGCGAGCTTCGCATTAGCCGCAGCTGCAGAGGCAGCAATGGCAGCTGCTCTGCGCCCCTTTGTTGCTGTTGCCTCCCTCTCGTTGTCGCGGCTCCAGTGAGCTTCAGCTTCACTGCATGCTGCGTGATGCCTGCTTCATGAAGTGAGGTTCTCAATGCTTCGTCATCACTGCATGCTGCTTAATGCCTGCTTCCTGCAAAGAGGTACTTGATGCTTCAGCCACACTGCATGCTGCTTGATGCCTGCTTCATGGAGTGAGGTACTTGATGCTTCAGCCTCACTGCATGCTGCGTGATGCCTGCTTCATGAAGTGAGGTTCTCAATGCTTCGGCATCACTGCATGCTGCTTGATGCCTGCTTCATGGAGTGAGGTACTTGATGCTTCAGCCTCACTGCATGCTGCTTGATGCCTGCTTCATGCAGTGAGGTACTTGATGCTTCGGCCTCACTGCATGGTACTACATGCCTGCAAGTTACTTAAACATGTATTGCATGGAAAAACATACACCAGCTGCTGAAGCTCATGAGTTACTTGTCCACAATATTTTCGAATTGGCATGCAGAAAATTGGTTTACATTGGCGGAGGCGTCTATTGTCATGTATTCATTCGGCGTATTCACACATTTAAATGTTCCAATGTCTCGGTTACGTGCTACATGCTACTGATCATTTCAACTGTTATTTTTTAGTAATATATTGTTTGCGATGCACGGAAATTTGTTTTATTTAATATTTAAGGTCCTGTACACAATTAAAATCTTGCATTTGGCCCATTGTTGCGTTGCAAATTGCGGTACATTTTACTCACTTGTACGCCCCGGTAACAAGTTCGTGTTACGTGATGTCTTCATGTAATTTGAAAAGCGTCAGATTTTTATGAGTGTTATAAGGATGCGTGGTTATGTCCAAAAAGTCAGTGAAGTTAGGGCAGTGAGACTGCATGAGATATCATGCGCTGTGATGCAGATGGACTGTGTTGTCCGGGCCAATATGGACTGTTCATTTGAAGTTAGTGAGGGTCAGGAACTCTGCAGTTAAGGCTATAGTGTGGCTCAGATGCACTGTACATTTGAGGTCATTGAGGCTCTTATGAACTGTGCAGTTAAGGTTATAGTGAGGCTCAGATGCACTGTACATTTGAGGTTATTGAGGCTCTTATGAACTGTGCAGTTAAGGTTATAGTGAGGCTCAGATGCACGGTGCATTTGACATTATTAAAGCTCTTATGAACTGTGCAGTTAAGGTTAGTGAGCCCATTTGTGAAGAGCGCAAACTGTGCGACATGTGCGCAGCTGCGGCTACCGAGGGAGCTGTGCAGGGAACACAGCAGGCTTTTACTGTATTGCGGTTAGCCAACACAAAACAAACATGCATTCTTTCTGCCCTGATGAGTCACAGCACAAAACGTATTCATACAACTACGAAAAGTGTATGCTCTCTGTGCAGGAATTCTAATAAAATCATCAAAATAGGTGCGATGAAATGGTGGGTTTAAAGTCATGTGTTTAGGCGTAAAATCTAGCTAACCGTTTTCGCATCTCACGTTCAGAAGAAGGCGATTGTTAAAAAATCTGTTGTTTTTCGGTTTTGGTCATATCAAACAGCAATCACGAGTCATGGTGTCTATAAATATATTCGTGAGTGTATACTGAATTAACTGGAAATAGCTTACATTATAGAAAACTGTTTGCCGGTATATCGTAAATTAACATAAGCGGATGAAAAGTGCGAATGGCTATTCAAAAGCAGGTGTTTGCGACAGCTGGCTCATCGGTAGCTGTTCCGTTGCTGCGCTGGGATCCGTTTGGCCGCGCAACCTGCGCTTCCTTCCGGCTGTCTGCAGCAACCGCTTGTGAAAAAAAATTGGCAACTGTATATGTGAACTAGTCTTCATTTACAAATTTCGGCAACGCAAAGGGTCATAAATGGACGCGATCCACACAAGTTTAAGATTTTTTTAAGCTTCATATTTTGTTATTTTTTATGTGTATTTAAGGCGTGTTTTTATGTGTATTTAAGGCGTTTTCCACCTTAATCGAGGTTTCAAACTGGAATCATGATGCTGTTTTATGGCGGGATATTTGGTAAGAAAACCATTTTATTGCAGAATGCTCTCATATGAAATTAAACTTTAACATATATAGTGAATTAAGGGTATATATTTGAAACCTTTCAAATACATAAGAGTTAGCAGGTCACAAAATTAGATGAAAAAAGAACCAGCGGCGCAGGTTTTCTCGAATCCCAATTTAATTGAATTTAATTTTTGATTTTAATTTAATTGAACTTGAACCCTTGATGCAGTGAAATAGAATTCGCTATGCAGTGATCCACTGTGTTTAAGGGGTGAAGCCGTAATGCAGTGATCCGTTCCGTTTAGCGGATGAAGCAGTGACCGTGAGTGCGCCAGACACTTGTCGTGCAATGAGAGGCCCTCGCAGGGGCCAGCGTAGTTTGTCCTTCAGACACGCGGTAACTCCAGCGATAGTCTGAGTCACTGCGCACGGCCGGAGTTGTGAGGGATAGTCTGAGTCACTGCGCACGGCCGGAGTTGTGAGGGATAGTCTGAGTCACTGAACACGGCCGGAGTCGTCAGGGATGGTCTGAGTCTGCACAGTGCATGCCGCCGGAGTCGTGCATTTCACGTGTACCTCCGACATGCTCCTCTAATAACTCTTCTGCTTATTGATTTGCATGCTAGATTCAAGTAACATGCAATAATAAGGTTACAGAATATAATTTCAATTTTTTTAGGCATACATAAGTTTTTAGGCTTTTTAATTAGCGATTTATTGACTTCGTAGCAACGGATGCTTTTTTCTGTGTTTTTGCATAGGTCGATCGTCATGGGATTTATCGTTCATTAGTTGTGCACATAGAGCAAAGACCGCGTCGCAGAGCAATGGAGGATGAAGCTTATTGGTCTCTTTGAGGATACTTAAGAATTACACGTCCGCTTTAAATTAGTTTATAAATTCGTTATGAATGAAGAAAGGAATAGAAATGTTGACCGAGAGGTGGCGGGGCCCTGCAGTGACGGAGTGCTCAGCTGCGGCCACTTAGAGAATTTGGTTGCAGCCACGACTGGTTCTTTCAAGGTCAACCTTGAGCCCTGCGGTTCCCTCCCACACGCTCGCTTCCTACAAAGAAAGAATGACTCCTATCAGGTTACCTGTCTTCTAGCTGCTTGTGCAGCGCGTGAATGTTCTATGGGTGCCACATATGTGTGAATGTTCTATGGGTGCCACATATGTGTGAATGTTCTATGGGTGCCACATATGTGTGAATGTTCTATTGGTGCCACATATGTGTGAATGTTCTATGGGTGCCACATGTGTGTGAATGCTCTATGGGGTGCCACATGTGTGTGAATGCTCTATGGGTGCCACATGTGTGCGAATGCTCTATGGGTGACACATGTGTGGGAATGTTGTATGGGTGCCACATACATGTGAATGCTCTGTGGGTGCCACATGTGTGGGAATGCTCTATGGGTGCGACACTGAGAACACGCGTTTGAATGCTCTATGGGTGTGTAATTGCTTTATGTGTGTCACATCTCGCGTTTCTCCGTGCTTCGCTCTATTAGCATTCTGACTGTATGCATCTCGTATATGCACCCTGAATGAGTTATTGGTAGTCATGGTTACGAACTAATGCCAACAATTCAAGAGTCTTTACTGAATAAAGGATAGTTGAGATAAGTGGTCAGGCATTATGTGTGCCAACCTCTTTTTTTAACGAGATGGTAACTTATGACTCAAAGAGCAATTTTTCTCGCTTCAACAGAGTATTGAAAACGTCTGACTGTTTGAATCGCGATTTTGATCGAATATATGTTATCAAATATATGTTAATCAATAAGCTTCATGCGAACATTTGAACGGATTTTCAGTCTTTTCAGGCTTTATTTTGTGATTTTCCTTCGGTTTTATTTAGCGTGACCTGACGCGCATGTATGTAGATTAATGCTCTCTGCATACCTGTTAGTGAACAACATGTCGGCTGTGCTTTTCTTGCGTTAATACTTGTAGTTTCTTTAGGAATAATAAGAAAGGAATTCCCTCCGCAAATAATTTCCATGGCACAAGAAGCCACTGCTCCGCTATCGCGCATATTTTCCGCCTTATACTTGCACCAAAATTTGAAATGCTTGTACCTGAATGATCGATCATTCCATGTAAGAGGAATTCATTGATAAGTCCTCCCTCATTCTATGATTCAAACGGTATCGTCTATCGGGGCTGTTTACATTTGTCGGAATTGTTTTGTAATATTACTGAAATGAATGTCATTAACATAAATTATATAGTTCAAACCAATTATGAGAAACCTATAATTTTTTTAATTTCCCTTGTGATATCGGATTTCAAGAACCAAATCTAACTACCTAAAATTTGTCTAGATCCGTATTCACGTCAAGTTTTTTTATGTGACCAGCAGACTATGTTTTACTCATTAAAGATTAGTTACCTCGATTACCAAGTTTAGCAAAATTTCGCCAATTCATGACAGTACTTTTTTTCCTTTTCAGAAGCATGCCGGATGAAATTCTCTCCTTGAAATGGAACAAACACAACTCCACCTTCCTGGAGGTGCTTTCCATCCTCAGGGATCAGGTAAGATGATCGCTCCAGTGTGCCATCAATGTTTTCTTCGCACTCTTGAATTATTTGTCTGCAGTCAATATTTTCCCCTGGCAATAATTACGTCCTTCTTATTGAAGTCAATAATTTTGGATAGTCATGCGTCATTCGCTTACGCCTGCGCTGCATCTTTGCGTTGAACTTTCCTTTAGGCTTTTGTAGTTGGTACACAAAAAAAGCATTAATGAAAGGTTGCAGACTTGGTATATACATTTATCGAATTAATGCACTAAAAGAACTTATAATAAGTATAAGTTCGAGTAACTGTAATATAATTACACACCATGTAGAATAACGCTTTCATTTCAAGACCGTTATAGTGAAATTCATGACCTTCCCTTCGTAATTGCGTCCTGAAGTGAATTTTCATCCCCTTGCAAAACGAATACAAATTTTTCTTTTATAATAGCTGCAGTCATTTTGCGCTCTACTAGTTTACGTTTAAAAGTCTTCTTTTGGGCTTCATCTGATATTTCTTCCTTCCTGTACTGTTAATATTTGATATGTCTACTCCTTTTTCATCCGGTATTTAAAAACTTTTTGAATTTTCTAAGAATACGTCATTTTTTTTATCTAGGAGGCCTTCGTAGACGTTACGCTCGCTTGCGGAGGAAAAATCTTCCCAGCCCACAAGTTTATACTATCAACATGCAGCGATTACTTCAAACAAATGTTCGCCGTGAATCCAGACAAGCATCCTATCGTTTATCTGAAGGATGTGCCAGCCACAGATCTCGAGGCATTACTAGATTTTATGTATCGAGGAGAAGTCGACGTATCTCGCACCAACTTGGCGTCATTGATGAATACAGCGGAAGGCTTACAAGTCAAAGGTCTAGCAATTCCTGACGGTTCACATTTGTTGAGAAGAGAAACGTTGTCTACACCTACTCCTCCAAGACCGCCTCCGGAACCTTCAATCAGCCCACCTCCAAAAAGGAAACGGTACCATGAGAACTACCTTCCCATCTCTGCTCTCAATATGTTCTACAATAACATTCATTCTTCGGCTCCCGAAACCAATAGCCCCTATGATCTATCTCAGAAAAATTCTTCATCATCGTCCGTTTCCCAGTCCGATATTCCTTGCAGTGATCGCTCTAGCTCACCTTCACCCTCTGAACACAAACCGTCTGTCACTCAAGTGCTCTTGGCTGCCCAACGTTCGTCTCCATCGCAAGATCCTCACCTTTCGTCTCAGTCTTGTAGGGCTCCCACACCGTCACCAGGATACCATAGTAAAGAAAACTCAATGGAAGATGAATCTGGGACCGTTGCTTCTTCGTCACCCAGGACTCCCCTGCCGTCCTCGTCATCTGGGGAGGGAAATTCCAGCAAGGATTCTCGTGATGATCGCCCGGTTGTTCCCGGTCCTTCTGGAGTACAAAGTTCAGGCAACAACAATCACTCCGATGACGATGTGGTAAGACTATTATTTTTGGCTTTAAAAATTGTGAATACAGTGTACGTTAATATCATGCTGACATTGCTGGAGTGTTTAAATATGTTAATGGGAGGCGTTCTAATTCTTTTTTTGGTAAATTACCTTTCATTTCTAGCGCATTTTCTCATTTATGGAAAAAAGGCGCTATTGTGCTCGTCTTGTCCGTCCGTCCGTGACATGAAGTCACGGACGGACGAGAAAATGCGCTCTCTGTCACTCACTGCAGTGAATACTGATCTAATTTTTTCACTTCCTTGTAGCTGATACAATTGAATACGGACGATACAATGGAATTGTATCGTCTCTCATCAAGATTTCTATAATTATTCTGTCGTCAATGTTCGATTGTGTTATATTTGATGATAATGATAAGATGCTACAAATATTGTGGCTATCAAGTCGGCTGCATCCGACCGAAGCTCCCACGTCATCAATTTAAAGTATTTCACATAGGAAGCCTAGCTTGTCGCCTCCCCGAGCATGCCATCATTTGCATCCAAATGCAATTGAATTTCAAGCAGTGTTTTGAGCAGGTAGTGAAAGAAGATGTCTCTGTTGCAGGTAGTGAAAGAAGATGTCTCTGTTGACGACTACGATTACTGCGACGACTACAGCACCGGTAACTGCGGGGACAGCGGTGGGGGAAGTGATGGAGGCACTGGAGATTTAGCTCCTACGGACTCCATCCCACCTCCGTCGGAATGTTCTGAATCCAGCCTCCCACCCTCCTTTGACCCTGCTCTCGTGAGTAATTTTGAGTCGTGTTATGTCACACTTGTGGGTTCTAATCTAACTAATATTTCACTCTTTATTTTCCCTCTAGCATTAATAATTTATCAATTCTGCAACGCACTCGCCTCATACATAAACAATATAATTAATTTCAGGTGCTGGATCATGACTAGTGCAGTGTAAAGAAAGCACTTCTATCATAAATTTGGTACCGTATTCCACACTGCTGATTAACGGGATTCAAATGAAAGATTTATTGCGGCATTTTTTGTTGTACTTTTCACTTATAAAAGTTTATCATTGAATTCAAATATTCCATTAAGAATCGTTTTCGATTGTAGCTTTGTAGTTGTTTTACAATCTATGAAACTTCATTACACAATATCTAACCAAAAATTTGTTCATCATTAATTTTTCATTTGAGATTGTTTGCTATCAGTAGGGGCCAGAGCATCGCCTTCTGCATTTACATCTACAAACCACTTTCAAATTTCCATGACTCTTCAACTATATTGTTTTTCTGCGGAACCTGCATGCATTTTAAATGTATCTCTCTAACTCGAATATATTTATCTTCATGTCTACCGTCCAGAATCGCAAACATTTATGAAGATAATTATCACAAATAACGTTTTTATTTCTAAAATTAATGCAAATGGTGAAAGATTATTCTTATGGGAGATAAAGAGATTATCATAAATATTATTATGAAGGATTATGCAAGTCATGATGCACGACACATTGTGCTTGGGATTGCTTACAAATAAATTATTATCGAGTCTTGAGCATGATTTTTACCTCATTTTTTATGCCTGTGTTACACTGCTTGCTTCAAGTTCTTGTCTTCTATGCCCGCTAGTATATTGCCTGCTTCCATGCTCCTCAGTTACACGACTCACAAAAGCTCTAAGCGGCGATGAGTCATGGGTAAAAAATACAAAACTGAAAATAATTTTACCTTTTCATAGTGAATTGATGTATAATATCATGAGAATCCATCATCAGGTAATGATGTATGAAAGTTTGATCAAACATCAAATTGACACTACTGTAATCGTTTCTGTTAAATGCTCCACGAAAAGTCGGGGCTTTTTGAAAAATTTACAGATGATACGCATTTTTAACGAAGTTGTAGTGCCAAAAACTGATGCGAAATTTGGCATCCAAATGACTCTGAAATTGATACATCATTGTTTTGGAATTAATAATCACGATTATTTACATTCGTAATAACCTACGGTTTGGTTTCACTCGGAGGTATCATGTAGGTAAACACCTCGAACATTCAAATGAGATTTGATCCGTTATCTGGCACCAAATTACCATGTTCTGTTATCTATGGATTTTTAAATTAAAGGCCTCGAATAATATTAAATACATCGTAATGGATGAAAAAAAAAGATTTTTTAAATTCAAATAAATTAAATTAAGTGATGAAATGTGTTGCTGCATGATATCTATCAATTGTTAACTCTTGTGCATGCAAGAAGCTTTCACTTCTAAATTCATTACTATTTTTAGGAGATATTAATAACGCTTACGTTCTTTTCTAAATAGCCGCATAATTCGAGATTTCTCGTCAACTTTATATAGGTAAACCGCATTTGCCGACACTACATTCTCATAATAACTTATTTTACCGATGCAATGACAACTGCAACGCAGAGGTAGGTTTCAATACAGAACTCATGGGTAAACCTTCCGTTCATAATAAACGCAAGCTCATTCATTTGTCATTTGTACCATATCAATTGATTTCATTCTTATTTGGATTAAAATATAGCCAAAGAATATAAAGATACACGTTAAATCTTGTGACCCTGTTTAGTTATACACACTTTAATGAACATCTTTTTTGGGGCAATAGATCCTCTGTGTAATATCAACTCAATCGCTTGTTTAGAATGCTTCTTCATGTGCGAATTTTTGGGATAAAAATGTCACCTTACTTGATATGAACTGACTGAACGAGACTGTTGATTTAACATGATCATTTTATGCCCATGTGATAACTTTTCTTAAATATATTTTTTGATTTCTTCTAGACGCTCTCCGTTCATTTGTACACCAATTTTTACAAACATCTGGAATATAATTTATATTAATTGAGATGACATTTTACTCCTTAAGTTTTTATTTTGCGTCTTCAGATTCATGTAAAAATTCAAGTTACGTTGTACGGCGTGCTCACTGTATTGCTTCCTGACGAACTGCGCTGCCATTCCAACTGACTCGACTTCCATTCTATTTTTATAATTCAATCGGCCTCAGGATCAAAATTTTGGACTTTGACTTAGTGCTACCTATACTCGTGAGCCCTGCTTCTCTGCCATGTGCCATATTGTGAACTTTGTTCTTAGTCTTGTCATGCGTCCCAATCATTTGCAATGTATACGGATAATGTTTTGTTCGTTTCAGCCTCTCCATTTCCTGCATTTATGTTGGGCGTGAAAGTTATCACTCTGTGTATGTAAACGTTTTCAAACTTTTGTTATTTCAAAAAAGAAAGAACATCCGAGTTATTACTTCCCATTTGTCTTTCGTAAGTCGACTGCGTCTCTGTTTGGCGTAAGTGGACGATGTACCATTGAGACTTTTCTTGTGTTTATGTGTCCCATTTCTGTACTATGTTTCATGGCGATGATGAACTTCTCGAAGAAGTGAAGTTTAAATGTGCACTGTGTTCTTAGAGTAAACCCGGATGTGGTTTCCGGACTTATAAATAAATCAGGGTTAAGCCTGATTTGATGTTCATGTTGTTGGATCGTTAATTGTTAAGTGTAGTTTGTGGAATGAAGTATTTTAATCACAAAACTTGTTTAGTGTGAACTTTTACTGCATATAAATGCTGTATGTATTTTGCTAGAATTAAGCGTCGGTTTTTAATATCTTCCGCATGTTAGGTAGATTTCTAGTCCCTGATAATCTTTGTAATTCATAGTGTACGTTGATTGATGGGATTTATCTTATTGTTGTGTCAGAGCGTGCCTGTCAGGAATTTTAATGTTTAAAGGTTAAGCCTTTTTTGGTTTGTTTATTGCACCATTTATGTTTTTATTTTTACCTGTAAGTGGCACTTGTTTGTTTCGCTGTGTTGCTCTTTCTTTTGTTTACTTTGTAGCGAAGAAAAGTATCTTAGAAAATTCTCGTTGCCTTCTGAAGAATTGTATGAAGCGCCATAGATCTTATATAGACTTTGCAGCGTCATCAGTAAAGTTTACGTACTAATAAAGCGCCCGAGATTTTCCATTTTGTGTTAAAATTTAGGCATTTCAGCTCCCGGTTATTACAATTGGCATTTATTCTGTTTATGGAATGGCGCCAGCCTTTGCTGTTCCTCGCACATCAAGTTTAGCAACTTGAACACTCTGTTATCTAGGCTTTCGTCGACCTGTTCAGTTTATTGGAGTTTCAATGTCATGATTTCTATGTTAGTACATAGTTCATATTGTATAACTTTATTTATGTACTTAGAGTGCATTAATATTTGAATGGCGTTCCCACCTGTGAACTTTTAATGTCAAGATTGAATTGTGTGATCTGAAGTACAAGCTGGCTTGTAATTCACCCTATTGATTGAATAATAATTACAAATTGCATTATTATATCTCATTTGTATCCACGAGGAAATACCAATTGTGCTAACCTGCTCTTCGTAAGGAAACTCTAAAGGCTAGACAAATATCTCGTCGGTCGTTGCATCGGCAGGCCGATTCTAAAAGAGGCATTTTGTTGCAGGGTCAAGCGCTGCAACATTCGCTACCTTTCCCTCACGCTGAGCAGCTCACCAACCTCACGTGCCCCATCTGCACCAAGGAGTTCAAAGTACTGGGATCCCTGAAGCGTCATTACCGCAGTCATATAAATTTCAAGCCTTATGAGTGCGAGATTTGTTACAAACGTTTCACACTCAATCAGTACCTAATTGAACATCGACGCACACACACCGGAGAAAAGCCTTATTCGTGTCATGTATGCGGAAAAAGTTTCGCCCAAACCGGCACGCTCTATCATCACGTACGGAACGTACATCAAATCAGCTGGACTGAGAAGCCCAACTGAAGAAGATAAACCACCGCACGTGGCGGGTTACTCAAATTCTACTCCTGCCGTGATGTGTTTCAATTGTATATTTCGATCATATTTTGTCCTTGGCAGAAATCGAAGTGTCTTGACAGTCTAAGTTGCCTTGATTGTATCAAGCTTTATTTATTGAACTGTATGTTAATCTAACCTAGTGTCACAATATGTCTCAACGTCGCTTTCGTAGGGCTAAACTAACATATGCAAATAGTAATAATGTATGGTCAAATATAAAGTTTTCTACATGAACGTGTTTCTTGATGGTCCCTTTCGTTCGAGGCAATTGAGGCACATGGGAGTGATGCAGGTGACTCGTTCGATAACGACTAATGACTGACGCATGAACGACTGTGACTGTTCCGCACAGAACGCACTAGGCTTTGCCTGATCCATTTGCTGATTGTTTCAGAAGGACCTGTCATCGAAATCGCGAGGTGATGCAAGCAATGGTGCTGGCGGAACCGGGATGCTCAGTCCCCGTGCTGTGTCCAGCGGTCCGCCCTCCACTCCAGAAGTTGGGGGGATGTTACTTCCTCCGCGACCACTCTGGCCTCAAGATGGCAATGTTGCTGACGAAATACTCCCCTGTCCCATATGCGGTAAACAATTCCCAAAGAAACGCAAGTCAAATCTCCAAGTTCATCTGAGAACTCACACCAATGAGAGGCCTTTCAAGTGTTCGACGTGCGGACGCGGTTTCAAACAAAAAGCGCATTTGGAGAAGCACCAAGAAAAGTCTTGTCACGTTTTGTCTGAATTCGTGCCTTACCCGTTCTTCCCTAAGATGCAGTGAAATATTCATGGCTCTGAAGTGATAAAGAATTCCCGATAAGGGTCAAGTGCATTATATTACTCGTGCTATTGATCACAGTTCGTGTCAGTCGTTACTGCGTTTTAGGTTTCGATGTCACTTGCCTCCTGCTTTTCTCACGTCTCACGGGTAAACTACCTACCGTCCAAATGTCGCTTAAGTTAGCACCGTGTAAGCCACCGTCTACTGCGGTCTATTTTTTACATATTATCACATGTAACCTTAAGAAATAAATGAAAAATTATTGATTATACTAATTAGAAAATCTGAAAGTAGAAATATTTTACTCTAATTTGTTTGTAATTACTGTATATAGCATAGTCAATACAATAGATGTCCTAAATTAGGCACTCCAATAAAAATTGACAAAAACGCGGGCCGACACTATTCTCCTTGCGGTAGCCTGGCATTGCTCCGATCATGTCTGCTTCCGAGCTGTAGAACTTACAAAATTGAAGATAATATTATTCCCCGACTGTTGCAGGGATGACCGTGTTCTGAAGTCTTATGCTTTACTAGGACAAATGCTTTCGTATAAATTATTTTGACTCAAAGGAAATACCTAATTCAGAACTCTATTGAACAAGAACATTAGATCCGAGGCAATTTGTCCATCGACGCTCAAATGCTAAAACAGAACAAAATGACCGCTGAATTGTGACATTTTATACGCCATTTATATGCGAGACTCATGTTTTGGCAAAGTCATTCAAAGTAGTTGGAATTAGGGCTTTCAATATCTTTCTACGGACCAGAAACTATCATTACTCCAAGAGCAGTTACGTGTCTAGCAAGAAGTCGTTCGTTATCAGCGCCGAAAAGTTAGTGCACCAGGCTACCAGCGGTATATTTCGAACAACTTGATCGAACCCCGAAATTCAGTTGGTAGGCGCGAATTTTCTATCGACGGGATAATGTATAGAACATCTTTCCAAGAGCACTAACTCCGATACTTCAAGCTGGAACTTAGGAAAATGTCTTTATATTATTTGACTGAAGCGAAGCACTAATTTCAAATTCACGGCTACGCATGATGCTCAACAATAATCATATATAATCACATAGCAGCTACTTTGGGACGAATCCCAATTGAACAATCGCACGTATAAATTCAGGTGCTATCATTGAAGAATTGACTATCGCCTTGCAGCAAACTTCTTCGACAGATTAGTTTAATATGATTACTGGGGGAACGTTAATTCGAGAAAAAGCAGCAAGGTAATGTATAAATAAGCGCCACACGATTCAGCGAAGGTTAGAGAATTAAAGTGAATGAATGCGTTGATTTATTCAGTTAAGCGAGCCAAGCGGATCATTGGAATGATTACTATCAGGTGACATCAACGCTGGAGTGATGTCGTCAGTCCAGTACACATAAATGACATACGAGCAAATTTAAACGCTGTAAATACAGATAAGAACCAATCAATTTTATTTCAGGTTCTCCAACATTGATAGTTAGTGTAACAAGCAAGAACCAAGTAAAGAAACGAAATAATGACAAACTTTTTGATGGTTAACTAGATTCGTTCGTGAAAACTGGCCTGTTGTTGTTGCATCAAACACTCGGGCAAGCAGGCCAGCTTCATTCCTGTGGCTCAATCGTCCACTATTTCGAATCGAATTAGAATGTAGTTGAAGATGGCCGACGAAAATGAATGTGCAGCTGAAGGTACTACACTGAAAGATGTCAGCATTTCTAGGAGATCGGCATTGGCAAGCTAATTGTTGAACGTTTACGTGAAGGATCCTAAGTGAAGAGACTAATAACACGAAATACTTTTACAAAAAGATGATGAACAATTTCACTATACCCTTGCTGACATGAAAATTTCAGCGCTACAACGTAAATAAGCTAAAATTCTCCACTCAAGGTAGAGGGCAAGGTTAGATGAACGATATTAGTTAAATAAACACCTCGAACAAAACAAGAATACAGAATTTTAGAAACAAAACTCAAATTTTGGCAATGGGAAGTCATAAATCGAATACTGCAAATAAGATGTGCAATCGTACAAGTATTGTCATCAAATATAATCGATCTAAAGAAATGCGATCATAAAATAAGTTGTCCACGAATGTTTCTCTCTCACCTGAAATTATTCCAAGTTCAAGTCTCTTGGCAATAACCATGAGAAAAAATCATGAGAAACACTGCCTTGAACTAAAGAAGAAAGAGTGCCTTGAAAACGTCAATGGAAGAAAACATACAGTCACTAATCTCTGCACAACCCGACAGCTAATAATCAAATGCAAGCTTTATAAGGAATACGAGCGCAGGCTCAATTTCATTAGGAGTGACGAATATAATCCATCTGGACAGAGATAGAAGATACTCGGATAGATGGCGACTCTACGTGAAGTGCAATAAATACCCCACTAAATCCTAGGCGAACAGAAAATCCAACAATCTGATTGCCGTTGGGACAAAACAAAATGAACGACGATGGAAGTTGATCGACCTCGCCTGAGGAAAAGCTTAGCATAACTCCTAGTAATATGTAACATTACAAGATAATTTAATCTAATCTGAACTCGGCCAATTACAACACTGAACAGAGTTCCAGGTTTGTTTCGACGTTCACATGATGACCGCAGCAAAAAACCGCAACGATGCTTAAAGACAATAAGCTCAGCCCAGGGCATCCAGGCAGAGCTCGCTTTGAAGAGCAATCAACATGCAACGACAGAGTCTCGCGGTCATGCCTAGCCACTATAATCCAATGTGCGGTCATCGTAAATTAAAAAGCTAAGGAGCTAATTCAAGCTAGAAGAGAATAAGTTTAGTCGACGTCCATGGGTTGTTCATTGGCGCCTTTGCTTGGATCCTCGCTAGGGCCATTTGTTTTCTGATCCTCTTCCTGATGTTCAGTATTAGCGGCGTTTTCTTCTGTCTTCTCCACTGGAGGAGGAGTAGGTGCCTGCAAATCCAGAATATCAATGGTTAAACAAGGTCATGAAAGATTCAGGTCTACGGCTCTTTTAAAAACATCTAAATAGTATCAATTAAGCTTTAGACAATTCTAGTAATACCACTTTCAATGCCCGGCCTCAGGGAAAGTAAGAACCTGCATCTGTAGACTCTAAGACAATAGACAGATAATAAAAAAAATCTTGATGGACAGTTTTTAGCCAACTCGTTTTTACATTGGTGAGCCGTTCAACATTGAAAACAGTTGATATAGTTCTTAAAACAGCTAAAAATTGTCCTGATACAGTATTAAAACATTGGGCATTGAAAACGTGCTAGTGTTGACGCAATCTAGAAAAGTCCACATAAGCTTTCATACGTACCTTGGGTTTGGGCTTTGGCTTGTTGATAATTGGTCTAACCAAATGTTCGAAAGCGGACAACTCTGAGCGAACTTGTGAGCTGGTGATCGGTACAGCTTCGAAGTTGGAAGTAGCCTTCACAGCCCCCATTTGTTGCTCAGTCCATGCCAACTTCTCACTGCTAGCCTTCTGCACTTTCTCAACCTCAGCGCTATCGAGGTGATCAAATTTCTCGTCGCCCGCCGCGAATTGGTCGCAGACTTTGTTCGCAAGTTGGATGGCCGACATCAACGCCTCAAATGCACCAGGCAGTTCCAATCGTTCGCGCCTTCGCTCTTTGATTGGTTCGCCATATTTCTGGGGAAAATAATAACCGTTATCACCAAAGAACAATGAATAATAGAAGATCAAACAAAAATTCAGCAAGACAGCAACAGAATGAATCACCAAAATAATCAATTAAAAAAACTTAAGAGCTCGAGAATTGAATGTAAAATCCGAGCATATAGAAGATACCTTACCTGGTAGCACAAATTCAAAGCCATGTTTCCTGATTGAATCTGAAAATTATTCTTGGAACCGTACGTAACTAGCGTCTCTCAGATCAATTATACAGAATCGTTCTTAATTCGTTTATCATTATGAATTTGCTTTCATACTTGGAATACAAAAAACAATATAACTCAACTAAAATGAATGTAACAGACACAAAACGGGGCCTTGTAAAAGGTAACGGATTTTCTTCGGGACAGTTTATTGCGTCTAGAAGTCGTAACAAGATTGTTTTACTGCAGGAATAATTGTTTGGTGCCAAGTCTGAATCATGTTTATCAGTAGGAAATCATTTGAGCACCCAACTGTTAATTACCATTGAGTGGCCCACGGTATGTCAAACAATAGAAATTACTTAGTCGTTAGACATACAATAAATTTTGGTCTCTCGTCTTTGCCTGAACTTGACAAATTCAACTCAAATATCGTAGCCAATTTCCTCAACAAGAACGAACCTTGAGCTCATCCAGTTTATCGACGTAGACCTGCTTTTGGCAGTCCTCGCCGTCTTCGTAGAGCCAGTTTTCTGTCTCCTCGAGGTTGCGACTCAAAGCAGTTCTGTCCTCCTCGGCCACGAACGCCTCCAGCTCCTCAAACAGCTTCGAGCGCAAATCATACACGTACTCCTCAACAGCATTCTGAGGAAAAATTATACGTGCCTATTCAAGCATGTGAAATGAAATGCCTAGAACTAACTCTTATGCACAAGCATTTTTTTATTTGAGTGATGTTTCACACCGATCGAGCTAACTTTTCAACATTGAAATGTTCCATCTTTCTCAAGACTACACCGAACGCAGTTTTAATATGAAATCTAATGCATTTCACTGAAAGGTTATGTTCGTGAACGGATAGGGGCAGAAGTTGTAATTTAATCGATCACCACAAGACTTTTGGATCACGCTGAATTTCAGACGGCCTGCATCGGCGATTGAATAAGCTTTGCTTTAAAATGCTAGCTCAGTAATTACAAGTACTCGATAGTTCACCATGCTATAAAAATTTCAAGTCTCAAAGAGTGAGTATTTTGTAATCATTCCCAATACATTAAAAACTTATATTTTGGATCTGGCACACATATTTTTAAGCCACATCTTTTTGAAATTATTTATTATTAGAATATAGTAAAAATAACGAATGCATTGCAGATTATTAATTTAAAAAATAACCAGCCAGCAAAAGCTGTGGAAAATCAAGAAAAAAATCTTATTTTGTATTGAAGATCAACAAACAGCTATTGCAATCATCCTGCAAACGATAAATAATCAAATGAAAGAATAACAATTTGAGACCCCAAACTAAGTCACCTTGGCATTGATGCGTTCATTTTCGAGCTTGTCGCTGGCTGCCATCTTGCTTTCACTCTCAAAAAGCTGGTTGATATCACCAGCGGTGGGTGCATGGCTGATAGTATCAAGAGGCAAGTCCACGGTGCGAGAGACTTTCTTAGGGCCCGCACTTTTCTTCTCGGTTGCCTGCTAACATATTTACGGTTAGAATCCTTATTATTTGTATTGGACAGCAGGCCCCTGTCACTCTGGAGAGCCGCCTCAGGTTAGGCAGCAGCCCAAGCCCCAAAGCAAAAAATAAATGACGTAATTCGGTACGCTGTTTCCTATTCTTCATCTTTCACAAAGAAACCACAGAAAATTTCCAATCGATCATAGCTACAAACAAGACATTAATAACGTCTTGAGATTAAATCAAATAAAATTAATCAAATTAAAATTAAAAAATTCTCGATTAAATCAAAAGACAACGAGAAAATTTATAGAAAACAATTATCAAACGGAGCAATAGCTTCATTAATAACGATTTAGTACAAAATTATAATCACATGAAATATGTAATATGCACACGCATTGCAGATGAATGGACACATTTCAGATGATAATAATTCGTAATTCTACATAGCACCAACATCACTAAAATTAACAAGATGAATTCACATTATAAAAGTGGGAAACATTTAAACAATAAGTTATCAGGGATATATTGTCAACGAGCCATTGTCTTCCGAAGCCAGAGTCTGAGATCAAGTTTAATGAGAAGTAGGTAATACAGAATTGTATAATTTGCCTGCAAAACTTGTCGCAAAATAATGCAATGCTCGGAACTCGATGCTCGAACAAAGCTCTCTCAATAGTCACAGCAACACTAACATAGTAAACTTAAGCTCACCTCAGGGGCAGCAGGTGCGTCGGAGGCAGGCGCAGCGTCAGCAGGTGCACCAGGAGCCTGTTCGTCTTCCTTGGCTTCTTCGGAAGACCCTTCACCATTCTTCGTTGCAGTCTGACATCAAAATACACATTCAGAACATTGTCAGGCTTCTATTCGTTTTTTAAGGTGATGAACCAATAAGCAAAAAATAACAAGCCGAGGTTATAATCATATGAAATATGTAATATGCAAAAAAAAAAAAAAGTCGAGGACCAGTCTCAACCGATCATATGAATAGATAATTAAAATAAGAACTAAGAATAGATTGATTTGAAAAACTTCAATAACAAACATTTACAGCATGTAATAGTCGTGTGGAGAATAGGGGAAGTGAGAGCTCAATATTTTTAGTCCCATTTATATCTTACATGAAAAATTACCAAAATTAGGATCGTAATTCTTCCACATCGTTGTAGTAAACTTACCCATTGCTGAAAAAAAAAACATGAAATAAGTTAGTAACCTAAAAGAAAGCAATGCTAGCTTGATGAAAATCGAAAAGTTGAAGAAAAGCGAATTTCATAATTCTAGCATAATTGTGTTACCTTCTTGTCATCAGTTTCCATTGGCGTGGCGTCGCCAGCATCCTGTTCCTCCACAAGAACCTCTTCCTTCTTCGTAAGGCTGGCGCTGGCAACCAGGAAATTGCCATGGATATTCACGCGCACCTTCACTTTTACCTGCCCGATAACATGGTGACATAAGAAACGAAACTCGCTTCGACTTGTTGATTATTTGGAGTCAGCATTTAACTTCAGCACCTTTCAGTGGGCAAGAAACAATATATTAGACAATAAACTGAGAAGTTACTGCTGAATTTAGCAGCAACAAACTTTTTGATGGTTAACTAGATTCGTTCGTGAAAACTGGTCTGTTGTTGTCGCATCACAGACTCGGGATAGAAAACTGAGTTCATTGAATTCAGGCCTGTTTCAGACTTACATTGCAAGATTGCAGTTCTATAGCTACTTTTTGTTTTAGATTTCAAGAGTGGACACTGTTTGAAAAGAAGTACCTGTCTCAGCCTACGTAATTTGTATTGTTTCAACAGTACGGGACATTTTAATACATTTTAAATTTTTTTCTTGTACTGAGGCGTCACTGACCTTCTGACTGCCCCCGTCGGCATTAGGAGCGACATCGTTGATTGTGTACGAAGCTATGAATCTGTCTTGGCCGGGGTAGTCGGCGCTCGAGTACTCAGCCTGGAGCGTGAACGGGCTGCGCCGGAAGAACGTCAGCAATTTCGAGAATGGAACCTAAGAAACGGGCAAAGACAATAAGAAAGGATGATCATAGTATAGTAGTATAGAACAACTGCAACCTACGAAGGAAGAATGAACTGAAAGCAAACGTACATTAAGGCATATTTGCAGGTTCAATCACATCAATGATTCATTAGCAACATGACCATAAGAAGTCCGAGAAAAGTATAGCATGCAACTAAAGGAAAAATGGCCATGAAACACAATAAAGGCCATTTAGAAATGCTGACTTGTATCGGTACTCTCAAAATAGTCCGCCACAAGCAGCAAGAGCTTACAAAATTGCATTGATCCCGATGGCCTGGTTACACAATCATGTAATATTGAATGATCTGCCTTCGGTTTCTCACCTGATGATTCTTAGGGAAAACATCCATGTCGCCTTTCTGTCCTGTTTCGTCCTGCCACAACAGTCTGATCGTGTACGGTTGTACGTCTTGAATACTGAATTCGCGCACCTGCAAATTCCGAATCAGTTGTAACAGCCGGCTCAAGTAAACACAACAGAATATCATTCTCATTGAAAAATATTTTTTGATGGTGTGGAGTTCTCGGTCAAATCAAGAGATAGACAAGTGCATTTCCCACTGTAAGGCTGAATTCAAAGAACTACACGCGCACCGGCAGGCGGGTGCAGAAGGAAAATAACAAACCATGTCTCGATTCAGTTAATCAAAATACCTAGGTGCTTGTAACCTTAAAATTTTTTGTAGCTTCCGGTAATTAGAGCATAATTTTCATGGAAAACAATATAGTAAATTTTATGATGGCTTTTTTATGGAAATTTTATGACAAAAACAAAGTGAACAATCCCTAGATAAATTTCATGATCATTGACGACTATTACACTTGATGACAATCACCTTGAAAGCTGGTGACAACATGGCACACTGCAGAGCACAGCCCCTGGCGACAGCCTCGTCTTGGTTGAGGGTGGTGGAGGGCGTCTGATGGAAGACCTTCTCAATGAGCCGCTTGATGGCGGGCACGCGGCTGGAGCCACCCACGATCTCGACGCTGTGGATGTCCTCCAGTCGCAGGCCGCTGTCGCGCAGGCATGCGGTCAGCGTCTTCTCCACGCGCGCCATGGCGTTCACTGCAAGATCTTCGAACTCCGCTCTGCATATTGAGCACAACATTATAAATGGCATTCACGGCAAGCTCCTCGAACTCCGCTCTGCATATTGAGCACAACATTACAAATGGCGTTCACGGCAAGCTCCTCGAACTCCGCTCGGCATATTGAACACAACATTACAAATGGCGTTCACGGCAAGCTCCTCGAACTCCGCTCGGCATATTGAACACAACATTATAAATGGCATTCACGGCAAGCTCCTCGAACTCCGCTCTGCATATTGAGCAAAACATTACAAATGGCGATCACGGCAAGCTCCTCAAACTCCGCTCGGCATATTGAACACAACATTACAGAATTGATTAGTATCTGCTATGCACCATGAACACCAATAAAAATTAGAATTTTTAGAATCAGTCAATAATTTTGTATATACGCATATTAATAACGTCTAAACACCAACTATTTTCAAATAAACATTTGAAATTGTTTCCATCAATAATATTGGAGACAATCTAGAAAACGCAATTTCTTCATAAGCATTAGGTTGTGAAGTTACCAACCAAGAGACACTGACCTGTCCATTCTGCCACTGACATCTTTATCATCCATGAAGCACTCAATGTTGATGGGAAGCTGGGTGGAATTTGCCGACATTTGCTTCTTGAGTTTCTCTACCTCGGACAATAGTTTGGCCCAGGCCTTTTTGTTCGTAGTTGCATCTACTTTGTATTGCTTTTTGAAATGGTCTGAGAACTTTTTGGCAATTATGTTATCAAACTCGCGGCCACCAATGTTTGGGTCCGACGCTGTAGCAAGCATCTTCAGTTTGCCTTTATTGAACGCCGTTGCAAACACCTGAACAAGAAGAGATCAACATGGAAGAACCACACCACAAGTTTCATTACCCTACGAATCCAGTCATTCTTATAATTCATTCTCAAAATTACTTCGAAGGTATCTGAAATTAGGTAGCATAAATAAGTCGCCACGAGTTAGAACACATATTTCCAAATATATTAATAACAGTGATTATATCAATATTGTCCAGTAAACAAATTTTCAGACCTTAGAAATGAATTAGGGGCTAACATCTTTTGCAAAACGTCAACAGCTTCTGACCACTTCCAGCAAATACCACGGCTGCCAGGTTGATAACTTTCGGCAGTCATATAGTCAAGGGATTTTCATTAGTTATTCTTACCTGGAGGGAAGAAAATCCGCAATCGACGAAGATAATATTCCGAGGTTTTTCTTCAAGGGGAGGAAGGTCTTGCTTGTAGATGCCATAGTTGAGGGCCGTGGCGCACGTCTCGTTGAGAAGCCGCAGGACGTTAAGACCAGCGCCCTGAGCAGCCATCAGCAGCGCGTGTCGCGATATGTCATCAAAATAACTTGGTACCTGCGCAAGCACAACGAAATACGTAAGCATAATGGAAAATAAACGTAAGCACAACGAAAAATTTTGTCTTTATATAGTCACACAACAATGTAAAGCAAGATAGAGTTAGCAGTAATCCAAAAATCATTCACATCGAGACGTTCATTATATTAAATTAAATTCGCCACAAATAGCTTGCATGTAAACGTTTCTAACAAAATCAAACGTGCCTATTTTCATACGTTAAGATATACCGTAAAAACATGCTTAGCTAAGATAAGAATGAACTCAAGCTAAAATGAAAGAACCTTGTGAATATAAAATTGCAGATCTTTGTAGACAAATTAGTATCACGATCGGGATAACAATGCCACAAAGGATTACTACTAACTCCGATAACAACGTCGTTGACTTTGATGTCAAGAGCAGATTCGGCGAGGATCTTGAGCTTAGTGAAGAGCATCGAAGTAATTTCGGTGGGGGTAAAGATTCTCTCTTCATTCTGGTAACGAACTTTGATGCCAATGTTGCCTTGGTTAGTCTCCACCACCGTGTATGGAAGGCTAGCAATCATCTCTTGTACTCGAGGATCCCTGAAATGAACACGATTTAAATTATCGCACATTATAACGAGATTATTTTGTCTTCTTGCAACAGAGTGAAAAAATTCATGTTTCATATTAATGACGAGAATTTAACTACATACACAAGATCTACCAATGGTATAAGAGAAAAAACCTTTTGTGATGAAGGCACAGCACATTTGTAAAGTCATTCAAGGATTGCAACACCGTGACGAAATTCTTGAGATAATTGAAGGATTAATGAATGACCCGTTTTTTTTATTGACGAGGAGAAAATCTCATGTCTGAAAATATATTAGGAATTCAACGCTCTGCCATATGCCGAGTATGAATCGTACATGGACATCTGAATACCGTTTACTAGACACAACATCAACGCAAGGTGTGGGTCCGCAATTTGTATCTTCCGTAGTACAATATTTTTGACAAATGAGAAGCTCACTATGAAAAAAATAGTTCCCTTTGAACTAAAAATCTAAGCATGGTTTCGTACCCACGCTGATATCTAAAAAATTTACGATGTATTTAAATACAGATCAAGACAGGACATAAGCGAATTGATAAGAGATGAATCAGAAATAACATGATTTAGCTTCTGTACGCTGTCTTACAAACCTGTATTTTTTGCCGATGAGATGCTTGAAGTGACTGACTGTGTTCTTCATGTTTGTTGTGGTCTGGTTCAGCGCAGCTACGCCCATCACGCGGTTCTTCTCGGTGAAAGCGACGCATGATCTGTAAAAAAATTCGCTTTTAATACGTCTTTTTCGTCCCGAATAGCCAAATTTGCATGCCATTACAAATAAAACAGCCTAATAAGGCGTTATTCAAGACAAGTTGGAGGTTGATCGGGCATTATATAGCAAGGCAAAAAGTCGTTGACAAATATAAGCAAATCATTCGATCGCACTTCAGAATAAATTCTGATGATATCCGTTTCATTAGTGCCCGTTCCGATGATATAGTTTCAATATGCTGTCACTCTCTTCTATACTAGAATTCGAACAAAGTTTCTTGAAAATTAAGATAAACTTGCCAAGATCAACTGAATTATCTCAATGATCATTATGATCGAATATTCAAGTAACTACGACAACAATTTAGCGACTAATCTAGTGAGCCAAGTATCAGAAGAAGTCAATGTTCATCCGTCAAATTCATGTCGCGAGTACCGCGAGGAGGCGGTCGCAAAACACGCCGTGACTCATACCGCTTCGGAGACTCGCAACACAGGCCTCGCGCATGGCCTTGCCAAGCGACTGCTACGTGTACAAGAATCTTAGCACATTTCTCTCAGGGGTATTTACTATTGCAAGGAAGAGCTAATTCTATATTAATTTTAAAAATAAGTCGGCGAATTCAATAATAAATAAAGGGGTAACCCGTCAAGAACCGAGGCTTTATGCAACAATGTGAGCGCAGGTGGCCGGGAGGCGGAAAGTTCGTAACCTTTCGACCGAGGGCTGCAGCTGCGCTCGTGCTAGGAGTTCAGCGCGTCATTTGCAATGCTTGTCCGAAATAGTGAAGTAACATATATATATACATAGGTATATAGTAACATTTGTGTGTACTTCTTTAATACTAAAAGATATCGGTTAATGAATGCGATGAACTGGATTCATAAATTTCTAATTGCATCGAAACGAATTTTAATGAAATAAAACCAATTAAAATGAAATGACGCGAAATGAAATGAAACGAATTTAAATGGAACGAAATGAATTCAACTGAAATGAAACGAATTTAAACGAGACAAAGCGAATTTAAATTGAGACATGAAAGCTGAGAAAAGAGGCCAAAAATCAATTAGAATTATATCGAAATATAAAAAATGAAATTCAACTGCATAACTGATGAAATTTGGGCCATAATAAACTTGGCTGAAGCAACACTGAAATTCACTTACAAATTAAACCAGAACTATTAAAACTCGTCGGATAGAAAGTATTTAATTATAATAATTTCACATTTCGACACCCAACTTAATCAAGCTGAAGTTAATGAATTAATTTCGGTCGGACAGAAATATCAGCCCTCTCAGCACAAACGCAACATTTTTTCAAACGCAAGCCAGTCATAGATACGAAAATGTTTATAGGAATAATAGAACCCCGTTCTAGCTTTCCCGCTTCAGCATATTTTCAAGTAAAATTTATTGAAAGGTTTGAAATCAATGCCATTTTTGGTGGGCGATTTTCAATGAAAATAATACCGGAGTCATTACCAAGGCAAGAATTTCAAGATATTATATATATCAAATTCAAATAAAGAAAAAAAGCAGCAGCATAACCCCATAGCCTCAACTGAGCAGAGAGAATCGGTAATCAAGCGACCGATCATGACTTCCTTGTACGGTAACCAAAACGAGCTCGGCGGTAACGAGACGACGCTTAGCTGCGTGGCTAAAAATTTGATGAAGTTTCAACGCGTCACAGCTGGTGCTGACAACATATCCCACACAAGCAATAGGATACGATACAATAATAACATAATAAAAAATGCAGGAGTAGTAATAGTAGCAGCAACAACGAGAACAGCAGCGGCATCACCCACAGTCGCACCAATAACAGGAATGCGTGGGAGGTGGCAACGCCTCTTGTGACATCACCGCAAAGAACCCAACTCCTTACTGGAGCAGCTCTACCGAAGTAAAAGCTCCATGGATTCAGCTAACTCTGATACATTGCAGGAGGTTGCGAGCACGGATACACTGCTGCAGGTTGCTTACTGGGTTACATAGCAGCAGGTTGCTAACTCGGATACACAGCGGCACTAGGCAGGTTGATAACTCGAATGCACTGCGGTAGATTTGGTTCAAAACCCATAAATACGAATTGCGCACGACTATTTTCATCGAGTAACAGCAACTCAAACAAAATTGTCGAAACAACTAGATAAAGACGATCTTGTCAACAGCTGAACAAATGAATGAACATAATAAATTCATGCAAGACATATGAATAATTACTAATTACAGATAAAATGTTATTTTAATGCGGAATCACCAATACGATGATTCGGTGCCACACACTTGAGTCAACATAAAAACTTGGCTTGCGCTAGGGAATGACTCATAAGTCGCTCAAGCAACTAACTTCCCATGTTTATGAATCATGGTCACATTAGATTAAATTTGTAAGTAATTAGTCTTGGAGTAGTAACTGACTTTGAAATGTTCAAACATTAACGCTGCTTGGCGAACATTTCCTGGTCAAGGAATCACTTGTTCTCGTTAGCTGACGAATGTTGAGCTAGTAGCAATCACGTAATCCATTGTTATTTTAACGAAATCTGCTAATGACAACGCAGCCAGAAAGTTTTCTGAGTAACAAATATGCCCAAAAATGAAATTTATCAATTCGATGATGGTCAGTAGTGAAATGCCGCAAGAACAAAATTTCAAACGGGCACTTTTTGTTGCGATAAGCAGTTGTGCAATGCATCCCCTGCATTTGCCCGCATTCTCGACTGCCTCAATAGCCGAACTTCCTAATGCTTCACATTTCTTGTACGAAAGGTACCATCTTTATTTTCTTTCTTGAACAAAATGCTGCAGGCACAAACTTTCAGGCACTTTACATTATTAGGTACAAAATTTTAACAGTATTTTTGAGGATTTATTCCAAGAAATATCTCATAGATTTGTTTCTAAACATACTTGTCAGGATGAATTAATAGACAAATGCCTGATAAAGATCTTTAGCACCAAATCTAACTCTGGTGTATTACTTGGATATATTTTTATAAATTCAGGCACATTAACACAGTGGATAGGGAAAACTGCTCTCTTCACAAGAATTTCAGATTTGAAATGATCGAATATTCAAGCAACTGCAACAATAATTTAGCAACTAGTTTTCAGTTAAAAATGGAATACCATGACTGAAAATCAATGCAATCTCTCATTCATTATCAAACTTCATTAAGAAGATTCAGATTTTATACAATTATTAAAAAATCCAAGTCTTCAAGTATGATTTTTAAACCCAATTCATCTTTGATTTCTTCCAATTTGTTTATACTTGTAAGATAGGTATTAAATATCAAAAACTAAGATTAATTTACCCTGAACAACTATATTAAATACAATTTATGGAAAGACCAAAACAAAAGACTGGCTTTCTCCTCGGTCATGTGTTTTTATACAAGAGAGTTAGTTTTTTATTTTAAAAACACAGTTCTTACGCCATATCATTACTTATACCTACATATTTTTAGCGCATTTTCTCATTTATGGAAAAAATGCCCTATTGTGCTCATCATGTCATTCCGTCCGTCTGTCTGTCCGTCCATGACTTAATCAACAGCTTATCTTGTCAACAAGAAAATGCGCTCCTTATCACTCACTGCAGTGAGTACTGAGTAATATTCTTTTAAACTTGGTATGGTGCGTGTCTTAGAAGCTTGGGACTGAGAATTTAATTTATTGAAGTATTATACACCATCAATATAACTACAGCAAAGGAATTACACAAGCATGAAGAAGAGGTAAAATCTTGAATCATTGTAACCCCATCACTAAATAAAAATATTGAAGCAATGTAATTACCCAATCTGCTTTACCCTTCATTTCTTACATACATACACAAATAACACAAGTCAACTTTGTCAAATCAGCAACCATCATCAGTTTAAATAACTTTTAAATACTATTCTCTTCTTTGTACCAGAGAACTTCATTGAAGCTACAACATGCTCATGAAGATAGGCTCTGCATTTTGGTTAATTTCTTCTAATTTGACATAGTTTATACAGTGCATCTCATTATTGTTGTGATGTTTATATATAATCATTCTAATCAGACCAAAACACAACCAACTTTTTGATCCTGCCTGCAACAATGCCTTAGAGGTTGGCTGTGGCAGGAACCAAGTTCCTCAAGTTATAAGGAGACCACCACCTACGAGCTATGAATCAGAATTGTGATTAAGAACTCTAATATATAATCGGTTAGCCATTACAAGGAATTGCCATAACAACCAACTCAATGAATGAACTTCTCAGTTTGTAGAATACCTTCTGGATAATTAGACTGACATTACTAGAATTCCCAGCACTTTCAACAGCTTTTCTTGTCAACATGAAAATGCGCTCCTTGTCACTCACTGCAGTGAGTACTGAGTAATATTCTTTTAAACTTGGTATGGTGCGTGTCTTAGAAGCTTGGGACTGAGAATTTAATTTATTGAAGTATTATACACCATCAATATAACTACAGCAAAGGAATTACACAAGCATGAAGAAGAGGTAAAATCTTGAATCATTGTAACCCCATCACTAAATAAAAATATTGAAGCAATGTAATTACCCAATCTGCTTTACCCTTCATTTCTTACATACAGTATATACACAAATAACACAAGTCAACTTTGTCAAATCAGCAACCATCATCAGTTTAAATAACTTTTAAATACTATTCTCTTCTTTGTACCAGAGAACTTCATTGAAGCTACAACATGCTCATTAAGATAGACTCTGCATTTTGGTTAATTTCTTCTAATTTGACATAGTTTATACAGTGCATCTCATTATTGTTGTGATGTTTATATATAATCTTTCTAATCTGACCAAAACACCAACAACTTTTTGATCCTGCCTGCAACAATGCCTTAGAGGTTGGCTGTGGCAGGAACAAAGTTCCTCAAGTTATAAGGAGACCACCACCTACGAGCTATGAATCAGAATTGTGATTAAGAACTCTAATATATAATCGGTTAGCCATTACAAGGAATTGCCATAACAACCAACTCAATGAATGAACTTCTCAGTTTGTAAAAATACCTTCTGGATAATTAGACTGACATTACTAGAATTCCCAGCACTGTTACAATAACCTATCAACTTCCTTTTTTTTTAGCCATAAAGCATTGCTGTCATTTTTTGGAGCTGAAAATTTACTACTGAATTCAATGCCCTGCAAGAGGCAACAACCAATAGTCACCAAACATCAATAGAAATGGACTATTTTGTAAATTAAACAAAACTGCAACTTTCGAACAAGATCAAAACAGCTTTATAGTTATTATGTGGTAAACAAGCCCAAAAATCATAGGTTTAGCCAGTATTAAATAGTTTTTATTAACATATGGCATGAGTTAACTACAGTATCTGTACTAATGTTATAGCAGAGCAGAGTGGCAGCACGTTGTTGCATATTTGGAGCCATGAGATTCCTGCAAAATCCGGGATGCAAATATTTGAGTAAAAAAAATAAAACCTTCAAATATTTGAGCAAATATTTGAAGGTTTTAAAAAACAAATAAGCATCAAAATCACTGTTTCCAGATGATCTTGCTAACACATTTTCCTTTGTAATGCCTCTGTACCTATGTTTTTGTTACAGAGTATTATATAATGGTTTAGATAGTTCTGGCAACAAACAAATACTCAATAAAGATGGAAACATTTCATGTCTAAAATCCTCAAGAATAGTACACCAACAGGGATTTCTCTTTCTTGCACCTTTGATGGAATGATGTTAGATATGAGATAGCCAGTCTTAAATATTAGACAGTATTTAAAAAAAATTGTGGGTAAAAATAATGATTTTATTAGATTTGTAGTAACTACAGGCAAAGAGTGCTTTTTATCTTATCTTTTACTTAGGAAATTAGATAAAGGCAATAGGAACAGGCAAAATTGCCCCAGACCATAATGGCAAACAAGACTTTTCAGTTGAAATTTCTTATAGTCATTCAATTGGGCCAGTTAGTGTCATGTGTGCCAGCATTAACATACCGGTACAAAACGTATTGAATAAAATCTTGAAGATTAGAAATTAAATAAACTGCAAGCACAGGCGTTTTGTCTATTAATGAGTGCCAGGCTGCTTTCTAGATTGGAATTTTCCTACTTATGAATGAAATCTTGTAGCTGCAAAGTAACCAATTTTCAATACATTTGGAATCTTGCAGCCCAATTGTGCTATTTCATCAACGATCAGAAGATTATTTATCTAGCAAGACGGTCATAGATCTGAAAATAGTAAGAAAGCTCTAGTTACAACTCAAAACAGAAGATATATTCCATGCCAGGGTGGCTTCTGCCCAATTTACCAGAATGGGTAATCAGTAACCTGGGAAAGGGACATATCCCAGAATGGGGAAATTGACAACCTCATACATAGTGAAAAACCTGGTAATTTTTAGAATTGGTTCATTTTTAATTTTCCCATTTACTCAAGATTAAAGCCAATATATTATGTATGCTAATTCTGACTTCCTTGAGTTAATTTTCAAGTCTAAAAAGTTGACCAATTAAGTATCATGGATACCAGCATCATCATACACAAGATATTGGTTTGAATCTTGAGTAGATGAGGAAATTAAAAATGAGTTGATACTAAAAACTGGTAGCTTAATTTGATTTATATGTGTTTGGAAACAAATGAAAAAGACATTCTGACCAGGACAATTTTACTGTTACAGAAAAAAAAAATTACATGAAATTGTTAACTTGCAGTCTTGCACCTAAGTGACCTAACTCCTGGTCTTCTTATAGTAAAATTTGTCAAGTGCTGGTCAGCCTAGGGATGGCAGCTGCAATGGCATTTGGTGATGCAATACTACTTGGACAAGTATTATTAAGTAGTTATTATGATTTATTGTTATCATTATGTAGAAATTATTACTACCATTAATTAAAATGTATCATTATCATTAGGCCTATTTAAAATTTATTAGTGTCATTATCATTTATTCATAGCTTTTCCACTTTTATTTGTAATCCACTTATATTTATTTGGTATTTCTTTTAAAAGTTTCTTTCCCTTTTCAGATGTATAATTTTCATTTGGATCTGAGGAAAAAAAAATTGTTGTGAGCATTTGCCTACAGTCTACAGATTACCGGAAACCTTACTTTTTTTCTAAATAGTTTGCTGAAGACTGAGAAATATATTAAATGCAAGAATTTCAATCTAAATGTGTCGGCAAGATCTTCTAAAGGCGAAAATTTTGCCGATAATGCGTCGCCGTAGGTCTTTAAATCTTCGTTCACTCTCTGCACAGTGGGTCCTCTCAGAGTCTCAGCAAATACTGCACTTACCTTGCCACTCATTGCTCAAAAGTCAAAACCATGATATTTTGGTCAGAATTACTATTTGTCAGCATAGTGGCAAACCAGAGATTTTTTAGAATCGGTTCATTTTTAATTTCCTAATTTTCTCAAGATTTAAATCAATTTCTTATGTACCATAATGCTGGTATCCATGATACTTTACTGGTCTACTTATAAGACTCAAAAATGAACTTGAGGTAGAGTCTAAAAAACTCTCTGCTTTGCCACTATGTTTGTCAGGTTCAATTACTTCAATATATATCTTATATGTCACTATGTAATGACTACAAACTTACAAAGCTGCTTTAATTGTGCTCAAAAGATGTGCTTCAGCATTGTTTATAAAATAGATTATTTTGATACTTGATAGAACTATAGAAGGCCACAGAAGCTTAATAGTGGTGTCTGACACTGACAGTCTGGGTGTTGGGTGATGTAATGATGTTAGTGGCATTGAAGATTGAAGGTAGAGCAGAATTCAGAAACAATATTCATGGTAGCCTATCATGAATTAAAATTGAAGCCTTTTGAAGGGACAATTTTATTGTAGTTTGTAGAGGACATTGCTAAATTGAGCTTTAAGGCTTCTTTGATATTCATATTGCATTCGAGTTGCTGCGAGCCTGCAATTCTAAGAGAAGAATCTTGATTTGTGTCTTATAATAATAATGACATTGACACCAGTCACACCACACACCAATCTCCACAATTTAGGTACCTAGGTACAACTCCATGGTAGAGTAGAGTTAAAATGTTTACTTACGGGGTTGCACGAAGACTGTAATCATTGGCCAGCGTTTCTATTCCACCTTGACGAGCAACTGCGATGTAACAGCTTTCATCACCAAAATCGATTCCAATCACTGACATTTTGGAGTTGGATGGTCACTTATTTCAAGAGCGCACAAAATTACTGTAGCACGTGCGAAAGAGCCGAAGGCAAGTCACACTCTGCGCGCGCCGCTAACGATAGTCATCCACTACAGAAATTTCTAGACGTAGACAGCACCGGTACACTCCAGAAAGTTATTTACGGATAGCTTTAACGTAAACTAACATATTTTTATTTCAAGTAGAGATTATTTTATCGCAGACCATATTTACTGTAAAATTTGCATTCTAATTAGTTCTGAATTGTTTTTATATTTCAAGTGAAATTTGAAGAACATTTGTAAATTGGAGATGACGTTATCACTAGAGTCTAGAAGCAGCCAAATCTTGTTTAGCAGCATTTGTATATGAAGTTTTCCTTAATGATAGATTCAAAACGCAAGGGAATAGTGAGAAATCTTTTGTTTAGCAATTGATTTAAAAATTGCCAATAATTGAAGGTTATTGGGAAAGTTCCTTGTGGAATTGACGTTTTGCATGTAGTTTGAAACTACCAGTAGGTTAATTTTGTTAAATTTTTTGAATAAAATTATTATTAAGATAGGAGGACAGCACCAATATAGTGGTGTCAGCTTTGTTTAGGAATATTCGCAGAATATTCTCAGCTTGTTGTGGTCTCGAACACGCCACTCACTGCTTCAATTTTGCTGTGCTTAACCGTCCGGCCACCTCGCCGATTTGACCAGAACTGTTGCAGGTAGCTGGGATCGAACCCACAGCTCGCATTTTGGTACTCTTAACGGTACCACTGGGCTACTCTGCTCGCCACATGGATCACAAGGGAATTTTTGCGGCAGCAAATGGTAATACAGCCTTTAGCTTCGTATATGTAATATAGTAATATATATGTAATATAGCGGTTTCAGCGTTTATTAGGCCGTAGGCCTATCGCCGATTCTTAACATCGCAGAACATTTACAGCTTGTTGCGGTCTCGAACTCACAACTCACTGCTACAAATTCTGCTGTGCTTAGCCGCCCGGCCTCCTTGCCGATTCTGACCAGAAACTGGCGCACAGAGCTGAGATCGAACCCGCGCCTCTCTGCGCCAATTCTGGTACTCTGAACTTTAACCACTGGGCCACCCTGCCCAGACAGCACAGGCCATGGGCCTATTTCTTCAGTGCCGACACTTCTATTCTATTCTAATACCCTGCACTAGAGCAAACACTCAGATCCTGCATGCAGTAGCTACCTCTCAGCCATATTAGCGCTACAGAACTTGGAGGCCACGCTGGATCGCTATTAATTTGATCATTTCCGCCGCGTACTAGCTAGAATTATTTTCGATTTAAAATCATTGCCCTGGCACTTTTTATATCTCTCAACAGTCAATTATAGTTGATTTGGTCTGGCTAGGTTATGTTGGGCAAGGAGTAGAAGTGAGGACAGGCTTATGCAGTAGCTGGGGACGTAGGAACTGTGTCGCATCCATATGAAAGGGTTTCTTTGTAAAAAATCGGTTCTGATTGGCTAATGTTTGTAGAACCTAGAGTTGACGTAGGCCGCGAGACCGGCAGCAAGTCCGGCCGTAAATTTGTCCGAGACGTCTAGAGTTAGACATACTTAGATAGCCATGTCATTTTTTCTTCACGAAAATACCGAGACAAAAATTTGAGTGTTTTAAGCACCTGTAACTCGACTCCAGAATCCATTATCTAATAGAGTAATAGTGTTATGTGTAGAATGTAGGTCATTGCATGGAATGATGGCGAACTTGACAGACTGGACTCTGGAGGTGTTACAGAATAGTGTAGTTAGACTGCCTCAGATGGACAGCAGCGGATGATTTGCTGGGAGGTGTGGGATGTGGACACGTTTAGAAAGGAAGAAAAAGACAAAATATATAAATACAAAGTACAGCAGGAAAGAATTAATTATTAACATTGTGCGCTAAAGCGTATCTGTCTAACATGAGAGTGAGTGAATGGAAGTATGTCATGTAATAGAACGTGTAAGTGTGAGCCGCACGAGACATGCATGGACATACTGACGGCATAATGGACGAAAAGATGAATGGGAAGCATGTGTGATGGTAGTAGGGGTGGGACTTAATGCAAATGCCTAAAGTGTGAATGAATGAACGGGGAGTAGAAATTAATTAGAGAAAATGAGTGTTCAACATGCAGTACTGATGTTAGGTAAACTTTCTAAGACCTGATAGTATAGCAGTATAGTATAGTATAGTACTGTATAGTATAGTATAGTATAGTATAGTATAGTATAGTATAGTATAGTATAGTATAGTATAGTATA